CCCCCCCCCTCTCTCCCCATTTGAAAGTAGCCATTGTGTGCCAGAAGTTAGGTTTGTCTAAATTCAACACCTTTCAAGACACCAGATTGTCATGCCCAACAGTTTTTTTTTTTTTTGTTCATGGGCTACACAACGGGGAATGGCCCTTTTTTATCTCCCTCCTTTTTACAATCACGCATTGATCACTGTTTCAATGAGACACTATAGTTTTGATTTTTGAGTTTCTATTTTTCCTTTAAATTGCAATTGGTACAAAGCGGATGGATACTTTTTTACTCATAATAATAAGCTCAAATAGATATTCAAATTAATATTTTAGCCCTTAACATGTTACTGTTAAAATATTTGTCAATTCCTTCATATATGTCTTCTCTTAGTTGACATATTCAATTAGCATTTTTTCCCTTTGGTAGACTATAAATGATGATTTGGTTTCTTGTGGAACAACTTAGTTGAAGTTAAAGCTGTACTTGGGATAGCATATAACTGAGTTGAGGACTTGAATTAGATTGGTTTGTTGAATGTGCTCTGATGTCTGCCAATTTGATAGCTGATAGTCTTGCTGGGGAGTGGGTATGATTTGTTTTTGGGGAAAGTTCACTGAGGTAATTTCTTTCCTGGTTATGAGTTATTTTCTTTCTTTCTTTCTCTCGTTCCTTCCTTCCCTCTTCATGCTTTCGTGTGCTCTGCTTCTTTGAGACCTCTTGGTTTTTCCCTTCTCCAAAAAGTGTTCTTGCAGGTTGTAGGGTTCCTGATCCATATACTTGATTCTAGATTCTCAATTAAAAAATTAAGTTAAAATTGATAAATATGAAGCAAATAATTTTATTGAGAAGCTTGGAAGAAAATGCATATATGAAGAATTGAGCATTCTTCTGTGAAGTGGAATCTTGAAAGTATGGATACCCATATGATGCTGGATGCTAGGAAGCTTAGTAGGGGTTTTGCTAAAGTTTCACATTTTTCTTTTTTTTTTTTTTTGTGCAGCATGGTTGGTGTTGTTCTTTTTATGCAAATGGTCATAGCCTTCAGTGTTGCTAATAGGATCTCAAATAGAAAATTCCCAATAAAGAAGCGACAATAATACAAAAGTGAATTTTGTGCAGTGTCTGGGCTGGGAGATCTGCCCTTGGACCTTTGCCAAGTCCCCCCAATACCTTCTCCGATATGAACTAAGGTGGAGTGTTCTAATAAACAGTATATGATCAAAGTAGACTTGTGTGAAACCAATCTTCACTAGTAAACCAAGCCAAGGTTCAAAGTATCGATATGTATTGGCCCATATCGGCCGATTCGTATCGTATCAGAGCCTTCTCGATACACTCCTACAGGGGGTGTTTCGGGTCGACAAGTGGTTTAGGGGGTAGATTGGCCTTAAACTGGCTCCTCTGAACCAGGTTCTAAAAAAAAAGAAATGAGAACCAATATAGGCCGATACGCCCTACCGACATATCGCCTTGTATCAATACTTTGAACCTTGAACCATGGTTTAAAGTATCGATATAACACCCCGTATCGGGCGTATTGTATCGTATCTTTTGAAAAAGATACGCTCCGAAACACTTGGAAACATGTTTTTAACTTCCCAAAAAACCAAAATTTGAAAAAAAAACTAAAACAAATAGAGTTTCGGCCATTTCTAAGTACCGATGTGATACTGCTGATATGCGTATCATATCGATACTTTGAACCTTGCCTTAAACCAAGCCCTAGGAGACTGCTTAACAGCTTAAGGCCATATAAAGATTTCTTTAACGTGCAAATCTTTACTTTCCTTTCTTTACTCTTAAGGATCCCCATTTAGGAAAGAACTCTTGACATTGTAAGGAAAGAAGAATCCTCACATAATTCTTCTTCACAAATGGGAGCAAATGTCTCCAAGTAATTGGCAAATGCTTGTGCATAACCCTTAGTTACTGGTCTTGCTTTATATCTTTGTCAGTGGATTCAACTATTCTTTACTTTATGTTAGAGACCCACTTTTTTCTCATTGGTTCTTTTTAATTAGAGAAATCAACCATATCCAATGTATGTTTCTTTCGTATTTCAATGTGATTCTAATATAGTCTTGGGGACAAACTTAAAAGAAATATGCTAGGCAAAAGTGGATGGTTATAGAAGGGTTTATGATAGATGCTTGGAGATAAAAGAATAGTACAAGAATGATGTTTACCTTGACCTCAATGAAAAAGGGATATTTATGTCAGGGAAATCAACAACATAGGGTGAATAAGAACTTGTCATCATATTGATGACTAGACTGAGTAATGAGGGAAGAGGCTCATCTACTAAAGAGAGAACAATCATTTTGTGCCTTTGGTACACTTGTAATTCATTTTAGGAACTCAAAGAAGACGAAACAGTGAAACTATCATTGGAATAGTGTTTTAAAAGCACAAAGGGCAAAAAAGGCACAGGGGCCAATTTGTGTCCGAGGTACAAGGCGCCGCGCACCTTTTTGAAGCAAGGTGCAAAAATATAAAAAAAAAAGATAGAAAATAAAATGTCAGAAAATTCAAAAAATGCCAAAAATTCAAAATGAAATAAAAAATGTTAAACATAATATTAATAAAATATAAACTTAAATTTTAAAATAAATTAAAAAAAACTATTATCTAAAATTAAAATATATAAACATAACATGTGAAGTGTATTAAAATGAAAATTTAAAAATAAAATCAAACATATAAAACATTTTCAAGCATGTAAAACCCACAATCTCTTTTTTTCCTCAATTGTATTACTTCAAGTAGCTAATGTGATGTAAAACATATTAGATTCCTAATTCTACGAGCTGCCTTTGTGCCACACCCCTCGAGGCAAGCCCAAACAAGCCCATGTTAGGGTCGTAAATTCTTAATTTCCACACAAAAAATAATGATTTTATGATTTTAATTGCCTTTTAAGAAGATATTTTATTAAGATGGGCTTGTTTGGGCTTGCCTCGAGGGGCATGATTGAGGGTCTAGGGGTGGAACCCCTAGCCCAGTTGCTAGGTTCAAAAAATGAAAAATAAAATTTTCAAAAAGTGCATGCTTCGGCTAAGGCGCAAGGCATGCACCTTTTGAATGTGTTGTGCCTAGGACCTGGGCGAGGTGCCTACCCTAAAATGCACCTCGCCTGTGCGCCTAGGCACACCTTTTAAATCACTACATTGGAAATGGTATTCGAAGGAAATTAGTGGCCAATGGGCCAAACCAAGGTTCAAAGTATTGATACAAGTCAATACACCTTACTGGAGTATCGGCCTGTATTGGCGCTTTTTTTGTGTTTTTATTTTTTTATTTTTTTCGGATATGGTTTAGAGGGGTCGGTTTAAGGCCCGACTACCCTCTAAACCATGGTACCTGAAACACCCCCTGTAGGGGCATATCGGGGAGGCCACGATACGATACTATCGGACGATACAGGCTGATACGTAACGATATTTTGAACCTTCGGTCAAACATATCCCTACTCTCTCTTTTTGTAGAACTTTGGAGAAAAGATGAGATAAACTCAGAAAAACCAGGAGAGTTGGCTCTTTGGGGTAGAGTGTTGGAGATGTTTTTAAAGAAACTGGTGGTATGGAAGAAGAGCCATCTGTTAATTGGGGGCAGAATCACATTTGACAAAATCCACCTCTCTAATCTACTTGTTTATACGATGTTGGTGAAGGTGATTAGAACCTTATAGAAAGTATGAGAGTTCTCCTCCTAGGCAAGGCCTTCATTCTCATTCCTAAGCAATGTGTAACTTAAGATAACACTCAAATGTTAAGTGTTATTCCAAGTCCCACATTGTTCAAGAATGGGAATGGAGGCCACGTCAGGCTGGGCTTTGCACTTACAATTAGGGCTACAGAGAGACAAGTGTACAAGAAACGGCCACGTCAGCCTTTAAGCAATATAACTGAAAGCCAACCACTCGAACAGACCACATAACAAACTGGACAAGTGGAGAGGCTGGTATAACAGAATTGTAACCGAGTATCCTAGTTATAAATAAGGAAAGAAAGTCCAGAAGGAGCGGAATTGATTTCTGGGAATTCTGAAAGACATCCACAACTGAGCAAGCTGGGTTCGCAGGTTCAAGAGGACCCTACCAGCCACCCAGGGTACACAGTGGAGAATAACTTGCTGTTGTATAAACGTCGATTGGTGATACCACAGGATTCAGCCCATATTCAGCAGCTTCTTGAAGTGTTCCACTCATCACCAGCGGGAGGCTACTGAGGAATTCTGCACACTTACAAAAGACTAGCCATCCAATTCCATTGGAAATGCATGTGGAATTCGGTCCAAAAATTCATAGCCGAATGCGTCATTTGCCAGAAAAATAAGGCTGATACCCAGTGTCCAGCAGGTCTGCTACAACCACTCCCAATTCCTACACAAGTGTGGGCTGATATATCCATGGGCTTCATAATGGGGCTGCTCATTTTCTATGGCAAGTCTGTCATTCTTGTAGTTGTTGATAGATTCACCAAATACTGCCACTTTTTCCCTCTCTCCCACCCCTTCACAGCTTCAATGGTGGCTGAGATTTTTACTAAGGAGGTGGCACGGCTGCATGGTACCCCTAACTCCATTGTCTCATACCGTGACCCAATTTTCATTAGTCGTTTCTGGGCAGAACTTTTCCGGTTACAAGGAGTGAAACTCTTCAAATCTACCAGCTACCATCCTCAAACAGACGAACAAACTGAGGTGGTCAACCAGAGTTTGGAAACCTATCTAAGGTGCTATGCAGGGGATAGGCCACGCCAGTGGCTCAAGTGACTCCATTGGGCTGAATGGTGGTACAATACCACTTATCACAGTGCAGCAGGAATGACTCCATTCAGGGCTCTATATGAACGGGACCCACCTTCCCTACTCCCTTATGAGAAAGGGTCTACAGCAGTAGCAGCAGTGGAAGACCAACTTCTCCAATGGGATATAGTGTTACAAGAGCTCAAATCCCACCTCCGTCAAGCCCAACAATGGATGACGGACTCTTACAACAGAAATCATAGGCCAGTCCAGTACCAAATTGGAGATCAAGTCTTCCTTAAACTACAACTGTACAAGCAAGTTTCAGTAGCAGGCCGCGGGTGGAACAAACTGAGCCCAAGATACTTCGGCCCATTTCGGATTGTTGAACGCGTTGGGTCCGTGGCATACAGACTTGACTTTCCAGCGACGGAAAAATTGCATCCCATATTTCATGTATCTCATTAAAGAAATGGCCAAAAACGGGAGCAATAACGACAACAATCCTTCCATCATTTTCAGAAGATGGCCAAGTTAAAACTGAACCTACCTAGATAACAGATTTCAGGTGGATACGCAAGGGGCATCACATCGAACCAGAAGCAATGGTGGTATGGTCAGGTCTCCCACTTGAAAATGCAACTTGGGAACCTTACTTGGACTTACAGAATAGATTCCCACATCTTGACCTTGAGGGCAAGGTCTCTTTCAAGGGAGGAGGGACTGTCAAGACACAAATAAGTGGAACAGAGAGACAAGTGTACAAGAAAAGGCCATGTCAGCCTTTAAGCAATATAACTGAAAGCCAACCACTCGAACAGACCACATAACAAACCGGACAAGTGGAGAGGCTGGTATAACAGAATTGTAACTGAGTGTATCCTAGTTATAAATAAGGAAAGAAAGTCCAGAAGGAGCAGAATTGATTTCTGGGAATTCCGTCTCTCTCTCTCTCTCTCGCTTCAGGAGGCAGGCTTCCTCGAAAAGCCCTGAGTTAGGCAGTTACCTAACAATGTAATATAAAATGTTCTATATAATACATATTATAAGTGTCATTATAATGTTTATACATAAAATATTGGTTTATTTAGTGAAGGAAATCCAGGGAGATGTCTTCTGGGATGAGAATAGCAATGTTGTGGTTCTTTTTTCTGCTCCCATTGGTGTTGGGGACTCATTATGGGCAGAAATCTTTGCTGTTTTGGAAGGAGCTATGAGAGCCGAAGAGCTCAACCTTTCTAAGGTACTTATTGAAGGGGAACCTAAGCTGGTTATTGGTTGGCTTCAAAAAGAGGAGGAGAGGGGATGGTGGGGTTACGCCAATGAAAAAAAAGGAAAATTAGACACTTGACTCAAGGAATGGATATCAAGCTGAATGGTGAATAGGGATGCCAACTCCATGACTGATGCTTTAGCTAAACAAGGGGTGGGAAGAAACACTAAATTCTGGGCTATATTGTATTTTCTTTTCTCTTTCGGGGGAGCTAAGAGAGTTTATTCCTCCTTATCTGTATCTTCTACATATATGCATATGTATAGGTTATGTATAAAATACATATATTTAAATGTATGTGGGTTGGCCGGGCTTGAAGCATTTAGGCCCAGGCCCAGCCCTAAAATTTGCAGGACCGAGCTGGGTCTGAAATCAAAACCTAGGCCCAAGCCCGGAATTTCTGAGCCGGGTTGGGCTGTGTAGGAATTAAATGAGGCCCATGCTTTTTGTGCTATAGGTCCAAAGCCTAKCCAAGCCCAACTTAGATTACACTTGTGCAGAGTTCACTTAATTATTCGCGTGTGCAATATTTGTTTTACTGTTTAATATGTTATTTAATTTAAAATTTTATAAATAATTAAATTTTTATCATAAGATGCAATGGGCTTAAAGTCATTAGGCCCAGAAAGCCTGTAAGCCTGGTGTGCAGGCCAGGTTGGGCCCGGGCCTAGGTTAATGCACTTTACAGTGGTGATACACCTGTGCCAGCCTGGCCCATGATCACCGCTATTACTAATGCTGATCTGTCATGCCCGGTAATTGTCTCTGTGGAACCAAGAGACACTGTATGCATCTGAGTGAGCAAAGACTTCCTGTAATGAAGGAAGTTTTGCACTCCCCAAGTTTTAGGTACGAAGCGGGTTCAAACTCTAGCCTAATCCCCAGAAGAAAAAAAAAAGTAAAAAGCGTGCTACATCAAATTTCTCCCACTTGCTGCTGAGTTTTAATGTCAAAACTAAGAGGCTGATAAGTATCAAGCTCATTTCGTACACTTCTAAGATTAGTATAATAATCGTTTATATTCTTGTCACTCTGTTGCAACTAGACTTACTGCTAGAATAACTAATAACGTGTGATGTTGTCTTTCCCAGAATACAACCTTTGGGCATGTTCCCAAACTTCTTTGGCTATACTGAAAAAAACATAAAATTAACACTTATCTTTATACTTCTACGATTACCATAATAATCCTTTATATTATTGTCACCCTGTTGCAACTGGAATTACTGCTAGAATAGCTAATATATGTGTGGTGTTGTCTTTCCCAGAATACATCCTTTGGGCATGTTCCCAGACTTCTTTGGATATACTGAAAAAACATAAAATTAACACTTCTCTTGGATTTCATGCTATTCCATAACATTATTAGCTTCTGGTTTGGCACTTTTCAAATACTTAAACTTTCCTTCAGCTTTAAGAAAAACTTCCACAGGTTTAGACCAATGCATGTAATTGTCACCATTCAGTTTGATGGCTATCATTTCTCTTTTGTAAACCGAATATTTCAAATTGTGCTAGATTGTTTGGTTTGGTTTCTCCCAATGTTCAGAGAACTGGACCAGGCATAGAACCAGAAGAGGGAGAGGTTCACGGGTCAAAGGTTCAATCACGGTTAAGTTAGAGATAGAACCATGATGACATAATATATATGTCGTCTTCCTTGTACAGCTACCCAGGTGAGCAAAAAAGCAGATTGAAATAGGATTAGAGCCTTCATATGTTCCTTCTTGGTGCTTTAATACAATGTCAATGGTATTCAGTTGCTTCTAGAAATGAAAGAGAGTGAAGAGAAGAGTAATAGAAGAGAGGGAGGAGAGAAACAAATGGAATAGAAGAATGGGAGAGAAAAATCAACCCTCCCAGTCAGCCAGATCTATTACTTATCTTAATATCATACAAAGACTAAACTTCTCCTACTTTAAGTGTGGGCGTGGTTACTTAAACTTGGACAGACCTGTAACAACATATATAAAATAAGGTAGAAAGAGTGAAAGACTAGATTATTCCTGATTAGTCAACTGACTCTTGATAAAAATGAACTAAAAATAACTTTTTGTATATCATGAAAAAATGAATTGAAAATCATTTGTTCGAACTTGGATGCATGATTCTTGGCTCAAATAAAACATTCCAAGTTTCCGACCGGCTTTATTGATGCAAGATGCATATAAGCAAATGATATCAAATTGGGGTGTCTCCATATTTGATCCAATTGTAATGGATTGACTTGGGGTCACCCTTTACCGGAATGAACAAATGGATAATGATTACTGCCTTAGACTTCTATAACAGGGGCCTGTTGGAGGTGCGTAAAAGTGGGAGGAAGTTTTAGACATTGTTAGTAAAGTGATATTTTAGGTAATTTCTGTATATGTAAGGAGTGGATTTCCTATCAGTTGTTTAATGGGGGAACCCTAGCCAACTTGGAAACTTCGCCATGGCAATTTTGTTTCTCAAAATGAGTCTTTGTGTTCTTGCATTGTTCAATATAAATCTTCTTTTTATGCTTCTTTTAAATAAAATCTTAACATTTGTTTAGGTATTCATAAGTTGGGCACAACTTTTACTGCTGTACACACACACACACGAGGGAGGGAGGGAAAAAAAACTTCTGCTCACAGGAGGGACGGGGAGAGGAAAAAAAACTTTTGCTGCTTTTATTTTGAATAGGGGAGTTAATACAACCGGCTAGGAGGGCCCTCTATATTATGGATATTTCTATGTTTGGCTACAAAATTCTTCCACATGGCAGAGATAGGTGAGGTTGTATAGGAGCTTCCCTATTAAGTGTGTTGAACAACGTTCTTCTGTTGCTTGTACAGACTCTGTTTTTGATTACACACACACAGAAGAAAGAGAGAG